ATCCTCGGAGAACGACCCGAGTCCCAAAACCGTGCGGTGACTCCGAATCCCCACCGACTCACCGCACGGTGTGGTCACCACCCCGTGTGGGGGCCCCCGATTGTCCGGCGAAGCACCCCGCCCGCCCTACCGGCACGCCTAGGGGTGCGCTGCGACGGGCAGAAGTGAACTATCTAAGGACGCTGGGCGAGGAGGCGAGGAGGAGGACACGGCGGGGGACGAAGAGCGACGAGCAGGGTTGTAGGAGGCATTGTTTTTGGGTTGTTCCAAACTCTTGTGGGCGGCTGTGAGAGGCCAGCTCCTCCTCACTCTTGACACTGGTATGATCCTCCTCATCCCCCTCTTTCTCCTCCACCCCGCCCTTCTCACCACTACTCCCATTCTACACTCAAGTAGAACAGCGAATACGTACACATATGTTTATGTGCAGATGCATGTATACATCTAGCATATATTTATCTATACACGGCTACTATAAATATCGGCCCACATATCTCTATGTATTTATATATATATACGCGGCCATTCGAAATATCGGTCCGCATTCTGCTGCTCAACCTGCTCCAGCCCACTTCCCTCCTAAGTATGCCGTTCCACCTCCGCATCGTGCCTTCAGTATGCTGCAGGAGCCGCGCGAGAGCCGCTCAGAGATCCCTCGGGAAGGCCGGACCCACGCCGGGCGCCGCCTCTGGCCGACCTCGGCTCGCCGCCCCGACGTGGCCGATCCCTGCCCCCCCCACCCTGGCGGAAGTCGGCAGGTGTGTCGGCCAGCGTCGATGCACGGTGCAGCCGCGGCCGCGAGAAAAAACCCTTGCAAGAAGCAGAGCGCCCTGGAAGTCCGCGCGCGCGGGGGGTGCATTGTCAGCGGGAAAGCCCAGCGCACCCATGGGCGCAAGAGCTTCTCAGAGCCCGCGGGGGAGGCGCCGTGCAGAGAGCGCGGAGCGAAGAAGCCCGGGCACCCTGACGAAAGGCAAATCGTTTCCAGGACGGCCAGAGTGCGGAACCAAACATGTTTTTGTTTCCAACAACAGTGCGACAGATCCAAGTTCTACTCTGGCTTGGAATATTCGTCCCACGGACTTTGTGCAGCATGTTCACTGGAGAAGGGAATGTTGTTTCACTGGTTGTTTGGTTTCCGATCGTAGACGTCGAGTTGAATTACAATCCGGCGAGCTCTTCGTTTCGCTGTTTTTGTTGCTTCCTTGGAACATATCAACCAAGCGAACGTGGCCATCGCAGGATGCTGCCGGCCTCCTCGAGAACGACAAGCGCGCTGTAGATGTACGTTCATTTATTGACGGAAAGCGACCTGATGCGCGATACATCGGCCCTTCGGTTGGTTCGAGCGGCCCCCGAACAGACATCGAGGCCACATGTTTGTATGCAATCGCGGCTTGATCCCGTTCAATCAGCGCGTATCTCAAGGCTGCCCGGCAAGATCGACGGGAACCTCCATGCCCAAACGAATCTGTGCACCGTTGCTCTCCGCGGGCCTCCAGCGCAGGGCTGCGCGCGCCGCGCAGCAGCTCGGTGCGCGCGCTCAAGCGAGGGCGCGGCCCTGCGTCGATCGGCCCGCCGCCTCAGGGCGCGCGCAGCGTCTGCCCCTGGAGCCCCCACCAGGCGGATCGGTGGAATGAAAGATTTTGTCTGTCTGGGTGGGCCAAAAACGCACAATGCTTCATTTGCAAAATGTTTCATTTCACCGGTCGCGGGTCTGGGTTGCGTCCCTGTCCGGGGCGGATGCGGAGTGGTTCCTTGCGGGCTTCTGTGGGGGGGTCGCTCTAGGGCGTATCGGGCCTCTCTTGGGGCCTGTCGCGCTCTTCCTCGGGTTCTCCTACTGGCTCTCAAGGCCCCTGTGGAGCTATTGGGCCCACTTGCGCCAACGTGGAAGTTTCTGAAGACGTCTCGGCGACGCATTGGGGATCTCTGGGTTTCACCAGACGCCCAGGGTCGTTTCTCGGCGCGTTCAGGCTGATGTGGAACCCCCCCGCAGTCCCCGGCCACCCACAGAGCGCCGTTGGAGCGTTGAGGGTTTCCTTCAGGCGGCGGGCCTCGGTGTCCAAATGTAGTGCGGCGCCATGCTGGGCGCTCCTTCAAATCGCAAGCTCGGTCGATTCGCGCATTTGGCGTCGCGTCGCGCAAATGTCGGCCCCATCGTGCTCAGTGATTATTTGGGCATGAGGGCCAACAAATCAAAATCTACAGGCCGACCAACGAAAAACAATAAATTTTGGTCCGCCCCCAAATATTCCGCGACACCCGATGTGGCACGGGCAGGATCAGCCAACACCGGATCGGTAAACCGGATCGGACCAATTAGTGATAAAGTGAGTCGGAGCGGGCTTCTTCAGCATGGAGTCGAAATCGAATCGGATCGGCCGCACCAAGGTGCACACGGCACCGTCAAAGTATCGTGCCACAGTGGAACGTCGAAATACAACGATCAAATCGGATCGGACCTGCCAGCTGATCGGATCGAAATGGCTCCTGGACGTTCAGGCTGAAGACTCTCTTCCCCAGTCAGCTGCACACTGAGAAAGACCAAGCATGGACTTACCACCTAGGAGCCCACAGCTGCCTCGGCCGAGGTTCGCAGACACAGGCAATTAGTTGCAGCGCACTGTTGTTACAGCATGTTTTGAGATGGTGGGCAGGGACAGATGAAGACAAACTTAACAGAAACTGGGCAATACACGGAGTGATGGAAACGATGGGACTGCCAATTGCTCCCAACCTGTCTTTACCATCGTCCCCTCTTCCGTGCCCGGCAACACCTGCTGCATGGGCCATCGCGCCGACTACGTAAAAGCACGAGCTCGTGATGTCGTTGCCTGGCCCGACTTGGTTTGCAGACAGGCCGCTGGAACTTCGCGACAGAAGGACCGATGCATGACTCGGCGAGCTGATTCCCTTACGCACTCCTGCCAGCACATGGAAGCTCCGCACAGAACAAGGTATTAGTCGAGGCACACCGCGAACCACTTTTATTGAGCTCACGTTCGCGCGACATCTCGCACATAGACAAATGCGTACGCGGCTCAATATACACACAGCTAGCTTGCGGGCAAGCCTGCCCAAATGCGCACCCGAGCAATGCACACTGCATTTCATGTGCCACATGTCCGTGCAGCAAGCCCGCTCTCCATGTCGTTCGCAGATTTTTGAAATCAAGAGGTACCGATATCGCGTGATGACTAATCTTTCGGAGCGGATCCTTCTGTGACGACGAGGGCATCCCTGGAGGCCCAGCGAGGCAAAAATGAGGCAAGGGTAGCGGTATTGGTAATTTGTCCTCCTCGGACATCTGCTTCACTGCTCGCTTGACGTAGAATTTCCTCCGACCTCTCAACGCTCCGCAGACATGACAACCCATCCGGCCGCAGATCGCGGTCGATAGGAACTCGCCGAGCCCGTGGCCGTCGTGGTGCCTCCCCCCCGCCAAGCATCTGCGCGGCTGCTTACAGTCGACGCGCATGATGAGGATGCGCGTTACGGACGCAATGGCCTAGGAAGGCCATATCGATACTTTTCGAGTGGGGCGCGGCTAGCGAACGTGGCGAAAGATCCGCCGCCAGGGCAAGGATGCAAAAGTAACCTTGGAGAGCCGCTCATCCTTACGATGCGCTTTGACTGTATCCCTCACGGAGACATTCCGCGTCAGCCTGAGGTGTGCAGAACCGTGCCTGGCGGGCTGCTCGCAGCTGGCGCCTCGATGCGCACGTCGCCGTGCAACGCCCCGGCCCGATTCGCCACCGTGCCGCCCTCTCGGAGTGAAGCGTCCGCAGGTGTCCTCGAGCTCTCCTCTGCGCTGAGTACACGAATGCTCTTCCAAGGCCTAGGCGTCTCAGGGACGGGGCTTCTCGCGAGGCTTCTGAGTGTGGTGCCGCATGACCGTTCCCAAGGCCAGGAAGGCTATTTTGTTTTGTGTTCCACCGGCCCCACCGTCGTGAAGCAAGGGTGTCCCGAAGCCGTGCCGTCGCGAGGCAAGGGTGTCCAGAAGCCTCGCCGTCGTGAAGCAAGGGTGTCCTCCAGCCTCGGCGTCGCGAAGCAAGCGTGTCCCAAAGCCTCGCCGTCGTGAAGCAAGGGTGTCCCGAAGCCTCGCCGTCGCGAAGCAACAAGGGGTGTTCGCCAGCCTCGCCGTTGCTTCAACAGCCATCGTCGAAACACGGACGCAGGCAGGCACTTCGAAAGCGTTCAAAGCGTGACGCGGTGAGACCACGGCAACGCGGTTGCATTTGAAGCCACTGTTTTTCCTCACCATGCGCGCGAAGCCTAGGAGAAGGAAAGACATGGAAATAGATCGGGCTGCGCGTCAGGATCACCCCAGTCTGGCCCAGAGGAGGCAGCAAGCCCCAACAATCAGAAAACCTCCCGAGTGCAGCTCCAGTCGGAGCGAGCCAAGCAAACGCTCACAATGACGGATGGTGGGAAAGCGGCGGCGGTGGCAGCGGCAAGGAAAGAAGAGGACGGACAGAAAAGAAACGAGCAAATAGCACTGGCCGTCCAACCACTGGACAGGCCAGGAAGGCCCAATACAGACTACGAGGTCCAGGAGGGCCCCAAGATGGTCCACGAAGGCCCCGGCACGGCCCACGAGAGCCCCAACACAGCCCAATATTGCCACAGAACGGCACAAGAGGCGCCCGAGAAGGGCCGAAGACGACGGCCAAAAGGGCCCCAGGAGGCAACACCCAGTGGTTGTCCTTCAGCGTGTATAGAATGCGAGCGTTCTTGCCTTGAATGCGTACGGCGGGAAAGGAGGTTACCCAGAGGGCCACAAAATCCAAAAGGCAGCCCAAAAGGGATCCAAGACGGCACAGGAGCCTCCCCAGGCATCCCCGAACGGCCCCAGCAGTTTCAAACAAATTGCGTGAATAGGAACAAATTGCCTCCAGAACGGCTAAGATGACCCAAGATGGCCTCCACGATGGTCCGAAAAAGCTTCCAAGAACCCCCGAAGGCTTCCAAGGTCGCCCCAAGACGGCCCAAGAGGCCCCCCAAAGACACGCAATATGTTTCAAGAGGGCCCAGCGGCGGCCTAAGAAGCAACTCAGACGGCCCCAAGACGGCCGCATTGACGTGCACGACGACCCTAAATCGCCCAAATAGGACCGCACTACTGCTCAGAGAAGGCCCCAAGACGGCATCCGAAGGCCAAGAGGTCCCTCACAGACCCCAGAAGCCCCAACAAGGCCTCCACGACTCTTCTCCTCCCTCTCCACCTCCTTTAGTCATTTTTCTTCCACTACCACGTGGTCCCTTGAGGGGTTCCCATACGGCTGGCTTGGGAAAGACACAGTTTTCAACAGCTTGGCCAGCCATTGGCCCAACATTGGCCGCGAGGGCGATTTCAAAAGGTAGGGGGCGGCGGCGACTCGCCGCAATTAGGCGTCTTCGATTCGCCGCCCCCTGTGTTTACTACAAGGTTGCGAATGCTGGATGTATCTTACATCTTTATCAACCCATTTCGGGTGTTTCTAGAAGTACCCCTGGCCCAAGGTGCCCCCAGCTTTTCGCTACATTTTGGAGCCCCTGGGGCCACCTGGGCCTCGCGACGGGTGCTTTGGAGGCCGCTTGGGCTAACCCGACAATCCTGGGTCACCTTAGCCCAGGGGCGCTTCTAGCAACACCCGACTATTCCCAATGGCATCCGGCTCAGCCCGTCACCGCGCCAGGAAAACCAGAAAAGTGTTGCCTCTGCCTCCCAATCACCAGAGATGGCCTCTAAGAGGACAGGACAGCCTCGTCTGCGTGACGCCCGGAGGCAGGGGCCTCCTCACCAAAGCTGGCCACAGCTTTCACAGAATTTGCCACCCAAGCTCCCACCACGAAGGCTTCTACTCGCCCAAGGAACCAGTCTACCATACCGCAGCAGCCGCGGAGCTCAGCCAGGCCATTACTGAGGAAATCAAAAAGGTGCGATACCGCGATGCCGCTACTCCCTGGACCTCCCCAGGGGTGCGTTCGGACCAGGATTTCGAGGCGAATCCAGCCGTGGCGACGCGGGCCTCCCAGGAGATCCAAAAAGGCAGAAACGAGGGAAGGGTACCAGTAGCGATACCCGTCCCTCCGCTGACTTATCTCGTGTAGTGCATCCTGTACAGACTTTTGACGGGAAGCCCCTGCCGTGGCGGCGAGGGCACTAGAGGAAGCCTGTAGTTTGCATGTCTCCTTACAGGGCATGATCATGTTATTTATTCAAAACCACTCAAAAAATGTTTTCGGTGACCACTCGTTCGGCTGACTTTTAAAATGCTTTTTTCGTTGGTCTCTTGGCTGACTTTTTTTTTGGTATCGTTGGAGGTCTCATGTTTTTTTTCGATTGCGAATTGCTTTTTGATTTGCTTCTGATACTCTCAACGAAAGTTGATTAGCTCTGCGGTCAGCCACATGTTCATTCTATCGTTCGGCCCTGTAAGGAAACATGAGACATTGCTTGCGGTTGTAGTAGTTGCGTGAGGTATCTGCCCTGTCGTTGCAATTGTACATCGTGGTTGGCGGTGGTCGTTCTGAACGGTACCGTCGGATGTTTTTGCTATGAGTGGTATTGTTGTCATGCATGATGGTTCACCAAACTTGATAAGATATGCCGCCGTGGCGGCCTATTCATGATTATGTGCTTGAGTGAGCCCAACTCGAAGACCACCCCAATCAATATCCGAATCGTTCGCGCTAAGACCCGCTCACACTCAGAACCTCGAGCCCGCCAAGCGGCTCCCAATGCACGTTCGCGGCCAGACTCTCTCAGACCCACATGCACTCATACCCCGAACTGCACAATCAAAGACTCACTGCACGGAAAAGAATGAGGAGGAGGAGGAGGAGAGGACACTTGGAGGCTCCGAAAGGAGGGGCGCCGAAGTCCCCTCGCGGCTTCTTCCTCCGACAGGCGGTGGGGGCTCGCCTCCGCCGAGCTGGCCCCCGCGCGGCGGGCCCAAACGGCCCGCCAAAACGGTGGAGTGGAGGCGGGCGAGAGTGAAGTGGAGTTGAGGTTTTAAGGGTTTGGGCATGGGTTGAGGTTTCAGGGGGATTGGGGTCGGGGTCGTGTGTCAATGGGATTGTGGGGGGCTGGGGCTTTTGTTGGGTGATGCCCGAGAAGGGTTCGGTAGGTTGGGGTGGGTTGGTGCTGAGGCTGAGTCTTAAAGTGCTGAGGTCTGAGCTGGGAGAGGAGGGCCTAGGAAGAGGCCTGCGGCCTCGCTCACACGTGGTTCCCGAGCTTGGCGGCTTCCAGCCGCTTCTGGATGAGCGGGTGCGCCAGCTGCGCTCCGCGGGGGAGCTTGGCGAGTTTCATGTTCTGAATCGTGAGAAGTTGGCCGAGGCGGATTTTGTCCTTGACCTTCCTCACGGAGTGAAGGACAACCGCCTCGGCCTCAGTCGTCACGCCCCGTGCGATGATATCCGCGCTCGCTGCGAGCACAACGGGGTCGGGGGTGCCGCCGACGTGCTCGACGGCACTCGTGTATGCCTCCGTGGCCTCGCGAGGCCGTCCCTCCTCTCACTCATCGTCCTCCTCCTCCTGACCTCCTCCTCCTCCGCCTCCCCCTCCTCCCCTACCTCCTCTTCCTCCTCATCCCCCCCCTCTCCTCAAGTCCTCCCGATTCCTCCCCCTCTCCTCCTCCTCCTCCTCCTCCTCCTCTTTATCCTCATCCTCATTCGGCCTCTCATCCTCCCCCTGATCCTCCCAGGGCCCAAGCCTTCTCCAAGGCCTCCCTCAGCTCCTTCTGCTCCTTCGCCTTGCCTTGAAGCCCGACATCGCGTCCATATCCACGAGCTTCTCGAGCGCGTCTGCCTCCCCGACGCCTGGCGCGTCGTGCCACAGGGTCCCGTCCGCGCAGCCACCCGCGCCCTGCTTGACCCTGGCCTGCAGCTCCTCGAGCTTCTCAGCCTCGATCTGCATGATCTCCAAGGTCACGTCCGTCAGGTTCGCGCCCACACCTTCGAACAACACCTCGGAGTACTTGTCCATGATCACCTGGTGATCCTCGAACCCGCTCATCGCCTTCACCCTGGCGAACGCGCCCGTCACCGACCTCCACAAGGATCTCAGGCTCGCGGTTGCGTCGTAGTTCTGCCCCTCGTCCTTCTTGGCTCGCTGAGCGCTGGTGTCCCCGAGGCCGATGAAGCGCCGCAAGTAGTCGCCCATCCGACTGGAGTCCTGGAAGAACCCGCCCAGCTTGAGGACGTTGTCGCGCAAGCCCTCTTGCCCATCGATGCCGTTGCGCACGACACCAGCCGAAAGCTTGAAGATCGCGAGAATCGTGGTGAAGTCGGGCGGGTTCTCTTCGTGAATGTTGGCCACGCTTGTGAACGTCCACACCGCCAGATGTTGCAACGCCTGGTAGTACACACCCCTGGACTCGACAGTGTAGATCTCGCCTTCGAGGGAATTTAGCTTCGAGAGGATCTCCTTCGCTGCGCTCTCTGAGTG